ATGAGACCAAACTTATCCATTCTGAGGGAAATCACCCCCGAGTGCTCACTGGATGGACAGATCCTGAAGCTGAGGCTCCAATACTTTGGCCATCTCATGAGAAGAGAAGACTTCCTGCAAAGATCCTGATGTTGGGAAAGTGTGAAGGCAAGAGGCGAAGGGGACGACAGAGGATGAGATGGTTGGACAGTGTCATCAAAGCTACCAACATGAATTTGACCAAACTCTGGGAGGTAGTGGAAGACAGGAGGGCCTGGCGTGCTCTGGTCCATGGGGTCACGAAGAGTTGGACATGACTTAATGACTAAACAACAACAAAGAAGGGGAGGAAAAGGAAAAAGAAGAAAAAAAACCAAACCTCAGGAGGGGGACACAAACACAAAAAACAAAAACAAATCACTTGCCTTTTCTGCAGCTGGTGCAAAGTGGTGCCAGTTTCTGAGGAGGATCCTCTCTGTGCGAAGGTTCTGCCCCCTGGTCCAACTTTAAAGTTTGGGGCCTTCTCTATATTACTTTTTATTTTTACTTTTATATATTGATCTCTACCTTGCCATCTTGAATGATATTATTGATGTTTAAATTGTTGTTTTTATTTATTGTTCATATGCTATTTTTTATTGTAAACTGCCCAGAGTAGACATGGTCTAAATGAGCGGGGTATAAATTTAATAAATAAATAACTAAATAAAAATTCTCTTCTCCTTACATTTAATCTCATCCAGACTGTTCCCTCCCAGGTTTTAAAGTGGTTGTGGTGGGAGTCAGAGGCAAGAGCAGCCCAGACTGAGATGCTGAGAATGATATGAGATTGGCTTTAATAAGCACTCAGCCATTAATTTTGAAGCTGGCTACCTAGATGCAAGCTACATGTTAAATACTATGTTAGAATTATATTCTAGAAATATTTCTTTTTAAATGTTTTTTCTTTACCCCATTAAAACTTTATGCAAACATGGGGTTGCAGGTTACATGGCTACTATAAAAGTAGGTCATGACTTGAAAAATGTGGGAACCACTGGGCTAAGGTATCACCAAGCTTCCAGCCGATTTTCAGTTACTGCTGAAACATCCGGCAAAAAACTCAGTTGTACTTCCCCGTCACTACAAGTACTGTTCAAGCATCCCTGAATATTTTCTACACAAGCAGCTTATAAATATTGAAAACCATTAAGTTACTGTAATATGTCTTTTGCTAGTGCTAATTTGTTGCTTTAACCAAATGCTAGAATCAAATCCACAATGAATATGCCTTCACATCTGTTCTTTGCCCAATGACTATCCTTCCATCTAATTGAGCTCACAGAACTGTTGTGAAGATGAGACAGGGTATTTGCATAAGACACTCCAAATCCCCTAGAGGAAGTATGGATCAAAATATAACAAAAAGGAAAATACTGATAATGCAGAAGTTGTTTTACTGATTATTTATTGCACATAACTTTAGGGGACACAGCATTATGGGAACATACAGTAAGCTAGAACAATACAACTATGATAACACAGACAAGGCAGAATTTCCAATACCCACATTATGTAGTTCTAATGTTGCTGAAATACTGTTTCCAGAACAAGTATACCATGTTCAACCAGAGGTTTAAAAGCTTCTCATTAGCATAAGACTGATAATATATTTGAGAAATATATAAAATCTTTTGGGAGGGAAGTTACAAATAAATAGGACTTCATTCCTAACCACACCTACAAAAAATATTCCCAAGTAAATGTGAACAGAAGGCTGTATCTGAAAGCATTTTTATGTCTTAAGAACGAATGACAGGCTTAAACAAGGTTTCTACAGTACAGAGGGGAGCCTGTTGTGAGCCCTCCTAAGATACTTTGCCTGGATGTAGGTCATCTAATTTCTCTTTTAACAAACAAGGCAAACTATATTCTAGGAAGAGATGCAAGGTCAAGCCAACTACCACACTCAGTGATAAACAATAACCCCAACTCTAGAATGTTTTAATAAAAACTGCAGGCAGGGCAGTACGTTCCTCACTTGAACTAACCTCACACCTAAAAAAATACACAACAATAAACGAAGGTAACCGGGCAGAGACATTACACAGAGAAGGCAGAGTGTGACACTGATACATGGAGGAGACGCCAATAGTGCATTCATTATTAAACATGTCTTTAGCAATCATCGCCTGCACCTTTTTGTTCCAGATTAGATACAGTACTTATATTTCTGGCACAGATATCAAGAAGCTTCCACAAAAGTTTGCCACAGCTTAAGGGGGTGGGGAAAAAAGGGACAGCAACTTTGTAGCAACGGTAGAATTGGACAGGGGCCGAAATGGGGCATGGCAGGATCGTATTCTTTATGGGGACCATACTAAAATAAATACTGGGCGGAAAACAGCGCAGCAGCTCTGTTGTCCATTTGCTCCCCCCCGTAGAAAGCGGACACTTAGAGGCTTGATGTGGGACAAATTTGAAAAGAGACGGGAAGAGTAAGCAACGGTTTGAAAAGCTAAGCTTCCATGCAGTGATTTGGTTCCTGGAACAGAGAAAGAACCGAGAGGGTCTCTGACCATGTGCAGAGTGCCTTAGCTTCAACGGCTCCCCTACTCCTAGGAGGTGGGGGAAGGGTTTCCAGACGTGACCTCCAATCTCGTGTGAAAGGTTCGGCCCCTTTCCTGTCAAACTCTGAAGGCGGGCAGGATGCGTTCGCCAGAACCCCCGTAGGCACCCCTGAGGTCCCCCTCCCCACAGCCAGTTCCTCTTTGGGTCTTTCCTGCCACCCTAAGCCTTACCTGGAACCGGTGCAAGCGGACCCGCCGGGTCCCAAACGCGCCTCTCACCCGCCCGGCGACCACGAAGAGAACCAGGCGAAGGCGCCACAAAGACACCGGCGGCTGCCTTTCCGCCTCGCCAGCCAAACTCGGCAGCCAGGCCCCGGCCCCCCTCCTGACTCCGCCCTCCCTCCGGGGCCACGCCCCCCCGCTTTCCATCAGGCGCAGCGTGATGGCATCAGCGGCGGCCCTTCCCTCGCGCGCCTTCCTTTGCTCCGCCTCCTCCGCCGCCGAAGGGAAGCGTCCCCTCTTCTTCGCCCAGGTTCCAGGGGTCGCTCATCCTGGGAAGCCTGCGTAGCGGCAGCCATGTCAGCGTCGCCCGCTGCAGCCGAAGCGAGCGGAGTGTTTATGTGGGGTCGGTTAAAAACTATTAAAGTATAGTGGGGTCTAGAGATCAAGGCACCTTGTGGCACCTGAAAGACCAGCATGTGTTACGGGGGGGGGGCGGTGTTAAGCCTTTATGAGTTCTGTTCCTGTTTAGTCGTTTGGTCGTCTTCGTGACCCCCATGGACCAGAGCACGCCAGGCCCTCCTGTCTTCCACTGCCTCCCCGAGTTTGGTCAAATTCATATTGGTAGCTTCAATGACACTGTCCAGCCATCTCATCCTCTGTCGTTCCCCTTCTCTTCTTGCCTTCACACTTTCCTAACATCAAGTTTTTTTTTCCAAGGAGTCTTCTCATGAGATGGCCAAAGTACTGGAGCCTCAGCTTCAGGATCCATCCTTCCAGTGAGCACTCAGGGTTTATTTCCTTTAGAATGGATGGGTTTGTTCTCCTTGCAGTCCAGGGGACTCTCAAGAGCCTCCTCCAACACCACAATTCAGTAGCATCAATTCTTCTGCGGTCAGCTTTCTTTATGGTCCAGCTCTCACTGTAGGCAAAGAAATTCCCAAAGAGCAGCTACAAAGCAACAAGGATAGTGGAAGGTGGCGCTAGCAGAGAATCTTCAGCAGACAGCAGCAGTGGCATTCAAACGAACATTTGTGGATACTGGGTGGAGGCAGTAGACGTCAAATATGCATTTTACCTTTTGATCCTCCAGTCATCCTTCATCTATTTTTAACTACGTCAAGGACCCATTCCCTCATCCACAGGTCCTGAAGCAAGTACAGTAGTGGCCAGTCCTTGCCAAGGGTAGGTAACAGCAGTGACACTGTTGATAATGTTTTCCAGACAGGAAGATAAAAGTGGAGAGAAAAAGGAAGAGAAGGAGAGAAAAAGACAGCATTTTAAGGTTTCCTCTTGCAGGTTACAGTTAATGGGTTAGGCAGGCATGGAAAAGTTACTCATCATTGTCTTTCTATACACATTTCTCTAAATCATGACTGCAGAGTTTTAAAGGCCAAAAACAAAGTTCTTTGGTGGGAACATACTCTTCCTGTTTAATAGGGTGGGCAATCTCAGGGAAGTCAAGAGCCTTTTTTCAGAATTGGCAGCACTCCCAAGCAACGGGGCTCAAAGGGAAGGGCATAGCTGAAGAAGCTACCATACAGATTTTTAATTTTGTTTATTGCACTGTAAAGGTTCCTACAAAGGATTTTTGTTAACTGAAAAATGTGTCTGGCTTAAAAATAAAGTTGAAAATTGAAAAAAAAACTTTTATCCTAGTGGGTAATTTTTTTTTAAAAGAAAATCAGAATTTTGAGGGGCATGCTGCAGCAATTGGCAGATGTTGACATCTTTGGATCTCTCCTGTTTCGGACACACAAGAATAAGCCAGGGTAATCTCTCTTCCCCCCCCCCCAAGTGGGCAGCCTGGCTTGTCAGTATTTTCATTCATTTTAATAGTTGCAGCTTGGTTTAATAATAAACCTTCAGTCAGTAACCTTGAAGAAGGTTAGTGACTGAAAAAAAGAATAACATTGATAGACAAACTGTTGGCAAAAATGTTATAAGCAGAACAGTTACTTAAGCCTTCTGCGGTTGCTACCACCCCTGCCCAGGGCTGGAGTGGCCAGGTGGGTCACCATAACCATAGGCTCCATAAAATCTATACTTGCATTCCTGCTGAAGCTTTGCTTCCTCTGTCAGTGTTGCTTCTGAGTTGAGGTGAGTCTGGAGAGTCGGCTTGGCCAAGTGCTTGTGTTGTCTCTGAGGAGGCCCACGTGGAACAATATCTGGTGTTCCTCCCTAGCATCCTCAAACCAAGGTGACGAGGACCCATTCCCTCATCCACAGGTCCCGAAGCAGTAGTGATCAGGCCTTGCCAATTGTGCAGAAGATGGGAGGCAGTTCCTCAGAGACCTGAGCCCAGTCCTCTTGACTCTGAGTCTCTTGAGGATGATGAGTCCTCCTCCTCCTCTTTCCCATTAAACCAACCTCCCTGCATTCTATCCTGACTCCAGCCCCACCCTCATCCACCTTTGGACTCTCACCTAAGGCCCCACTCCGGTGTTCCATGCTCTAAGGCTCCCATACCACCGAGGTCTCAAGGAAGTCCTCAGGAGGTGTGGGTCCAACGTGGACAGCCCACCAGGGACAGCCAGAGCATCCCCCTTACACTTACCCGCAGATGTATATACAGGCCAGTGAAGTATCAGCAGTAAATGTACAATCCTAGTTCACCAGGCACCTTCCCTCGCTGTCTTTAAGTTAGTAAAAACAGAACTGTCCAAAGCTAACTTTTATTATTGTATTTGTAATGTCCAATGTAGTTTTAAATTTAAAATTGTCTAAATAAAGGCTAGTTAGTAGTTTTATTGATTGTTGATTTGTATTTATATATTATTTTGTGTTTATTATTTGTTTGCATGCATGCTTTTTTGTAAACTTCCAGAGCCTGCATTGCACTATGGAGTGGTATATAAGTTGAAGAAATAAATCCTGTACATCAGTTTCAGAGGGTCTTATTTTATGGAATCCACAGTGAGCAAACTGGGGTGCACATAGCCCTTAGCCACTTTCTGTGTGACCCATGGAACCCCAGGTTGCCCCATCTACTTTATCCAGCCATCCACATGATCAGCCAGCAACTTTTGGTGCTGCTGTTAATAAATAATTATCTAGATTAAACGTTGTAAAGGAGAATTTAACCTTTCCTTCCATCTGCTATCCTTACAAGTAAGTATATGTGGCTCTCAAACAACAGTTGTGAGCATTTTGCCCTACACACCTCCTTCTCATGACCCATGTGATGTCAAAGAGTACCACAGCCACCAACATGGCAATCCCCAACTCTCAGAATATTGCCCATCACAATCTGTAACACTGAATCCTGAGTTTTGTCTAGTATACAGCCCATAAAGGTACAAGAGCCCTATCCTTCCTGCCCCTCCGCAAATATATATATATATTGGCACAAAATTGTATTTCAACGTTCTAGGTTCTGAAGACATTGGTAGAGATCTTTAGAATCTCCACAGAGTAAACAGAGATTTTTAAGCACCCTCACAAATCAACATATCCAGTAATAATTTTGAAGATGGGAAGCAATGCTAGTTGAATAGATTTTTGTACTGATTTATTGTAGTGAGTACATGCCTTGAATGTGCTGACCTAAGAAATATGAGATTGTTCTTTGAAAAAGCTTTTAATCTTTTTACCTAAACTGTATAGTTCATTTTTTAAAAATTCTCAGGGCAGAAAAAATGACATACACACCCCAAAAGCTGAAATAATGTGCAATTAAAGCACCATCTAGGGGGACCCTAAAACTCTGGCTGTCTGCACCAGTATCAGTTCTCCCTGTGTTCCACATATGAATGGTATATTTTAAAACAAAAGAAATAATTGACTTATGTTGGAAATTAAATTCTTCATAGCATTCAAAATGCCATTTATCAATAGTACAGCTTGTGGAATAAACTCTGGAGAAAATCTGTGTTTTTTATCCCTGCTCCCACTGGGACAGACTGCTAAGAATTATTTTGTTCCAGCCAGATAATGACTGCTGTGCCTTATTTATGTTGTTTTTGTATTCCATTTAGATTGTGGTTTTATTTTGTCTTTCTTTAATTTTATTAAAGAGTTTTGCAAATAATATAGACAAAGTTGAAATGAGTATAGTAAATAAAATAACTTCATTATTGTTAAGCAAACATAATCTCAGAAATAAACCATACTTTGAATACATCTCCTTGAAAAGGAAAATTGGATGCTTCATGCATTTACCAAATATTTTAATCCAATGTACCAGGAATGGCACATCCACAGACAAAAAGAGGCAGAAAATGATTAATGGAGTGAAAAGTCTATCATTTGGTTTCTTCTCAAGCATGAAATTAATATTGGTTACATTTTGTTGTCATCATTTGTAAAACGACTAATTATCATTGCATGCAGACTTCTCTAAACATATGGTCCTTTTAGAAAGTAAGCAGGATGAAAATATTCAAAAATAGATTTGTACTGTATTCATATATCATTGCTGAACATGTTGAAAGGATCATTTGAAGAAATGGCAGAATGACACAAGAATCAACATTTGCAGTGACATACATATACTTCATAATGTACATTTTGTTTTAGCCCAATAAAAATTGTACCATCCACTCTTTTTGTCTCTGTTAGGGAGCAAGTTCAGTCTATCAATCTACAAAAGCTTATTTTTATGGAATCATGTAGAGAAGCTCAGCATATAATATTTTCCTCCTTCATCTCTCAGACATAACCAAGAGACAAATTTTATTCTTTAAGGCTGCTTTACACTTAAATTACTGTAGCTGTTCTTCCTCAGTTTTCAGGTAAATTGTTTGTGCTTTTTTTTTTAACTAACATAATTATCAACCAATGTTCTTCCTCAGTTTTCAGGTAAATCGGTTTGTTTGTGCTTTGTTTTTTTTTAACTAACATAATTATCAACCACAATTATGTAGACACGTAATGTGGTGTACAAGCTTGAAAGAGTCATTTTTGGGGATTAGTGTTGCATGGTGAGCAAAAGGTAAATTATCCAGGCTCTGGTCTAAATAAAAGCAAAATGTTGTGGACTCCTAAAATTCAAAGTTTCACCTGATAATCTATAAACAGGAAATGCTACTCTTATAACACAATTTTGTGCATTAACACATTTATCGTATCAGTATATAAACCCAGGTGCTTATTGGAAGGACAGATCCTGAAGCTGAGGCTTCAATACTTTGGCCATCTCCTTGGAAAAGACCCTGATGTTGAGAAAGTGTGAAGACAAGAGGAG